GTCGTTGTCATGCTGCAGAATAAACTTGGGACTGATCAGACACCTCCCTAAGTGTTGCATGATGGGTAAGAATCTAAACATATAAGTGGCTAAAACCTTTTCACAGTGCTGCAGATGTTCAATTTTACAATTCTGTTAAGAACTTGTTTATATGTTGAACACAAGGCAGTTTTGACATTGTGAATTCTCTGAACTAATATAAAAGAAGCATAAAGTTTTGTGCGCACCAAACCGTATTCATGTGTTCAGGACATGAAAATGAACATTTAATGTGAGACGGATCTATATTTTGGTATCGATCCTGTTGATAAAAACGTACTATCAATACTTCAGGCATTCATCCGCCCACCCCTAACATCAGTGAGCGTCTCCAGCTACAATAAATGTGCCATTTTTAATTTCACCACACTCCGCTGAACAGATGGACATAATGATACGGTATTTATTTAACATGCATCATATTGCAGCTTTGAGCTGTTCTGAAATTGTTCTTCTACATTTTGCAATTTGTAAAGTTACTTCAGTCACAAACGCAGGTATAATTGGATTTCGGAGGGAAAAGCATTTACAGCTTCAGGTCCACACTTGTTTATTCTCTCCACAGTACAAACAATGAAAACAAAAGTCTGTGTGTAGTGTGTAACTGTCTTAAACCTTTTGTGTATTCATGCGTAAAAACTCTGTTTTAGTACACAGCTTATTCGTGTCAGCACAAGGTATCTGCACCAAGTTTCTGATCTGGAATAGTCCTGGTCTCAGTCTCGACTGAACATAGTGATATTGACTGCAGCTCTGTCACAGTCAACTCTTCTCCACCAAATCAGCTCTGGTGCTTAAAACCGTTTCCGTTCAGGATTCTTGGAACGTAGACGTGGAAGAATATTATGTGCAAGACAAATACTATGTAAAATGTTTTTATTTAAAGCCTAGATGAGTGTAAAGGAAACTCTGCGTAAAGAGCTTTGTATTTCTATGACAAAGCATGGTAAGAAAAAGGAAATTTAATGCAAATTTAAACTTAACAGGCATTGATATACACGATGAGAAGACAGAGGGCTGTTTTGTAGACATAACCGCGGGTGCAGCTATGGTTGAATGCTAATGGCAGAACTAGTTCAACATCTTACTCCGACATGACCAAATCCTCACCAAGTATTGGGTTTCTATTGCACGCTCTCTTTTTCCCCCCATTGATTTCTTTCTCGACTTCTCCACTCTTGACTTCTCCATCCTTCCTGATATTATGACACGCCCTCTGCAGTCATCACAGTTTGCACATCAGGCTCTTTTTTTTGGTTCCAGCTGGGAACCACATTTTCGGTTTCCAAACCAATTTATTTTTGGTTGAAATGCTCCAACGGTTCAAAAGCGATGCGCACGAACCAGAGGCAAAACCCCCGTTCCACGCTGGTGAAAAAAGGGTTAAGAGTGGGAGATTGTTTTAAGAGTCGGTCAGCAGCATCCAGCATCGAGCCTGCTGAGCTAACAGCACGCCAGTTCTGCATAAAGTGACTGGAGGACAAGGTGAGACACTTTGTCACCCAGCAGAGCGGCCCATTCCTAATCCATTAGGCTGTGGAGAGTGTGTGTGTGTGTGTGTCTGTGAGTGTGTGTGTGTAGACTTGGTTGTAGGATAAGGGTTAAGCATTCATTCGTGATGGTTAACGTTAGCATAAGGGGCTTAGGAATGCATTATGTCAATGACAGGTCCCCACAGAGATAGGTGTACAGGTGTGTGTGTGTGTGTGTGTGTGTGTGTGTGTGTGTGTGTGTGTGTGTGTGTGTGTGTGTGTGTGTGTGTGTGTGTGCGCGGACAGGAAGCTGTCCTGGTGTCTGAGCTAATAAAAGAGTGTGTCTGTGCGAGCTGATGTGACAGAGCTCAGGCTCGCCTAGTTTACAGATGCCCAGGGATGAATACCTTCTGTCACATCTCCTTTATTCTCTTGTTCTCCTCATCACTCTCTCTGCCTCTCCTCCTCCTCATCACTCTCTCATACCTCGCTCCACATCCTGCCGGCACTTTTATTTTGTCACTGTCCTGCGGTAATTCCCCTGGCTTTTTCTCTCCTAACTCTCCTGCTTCTGACATCATTACTTTCTCTTGTTTTTTGTCTTTCATGCTTTATCTCTCGCATTTCATGGTTGGGAGAGACTTGATATATTATCCTGCTATTGTAGTTCTTCATGTTTTTAAGGCACTTATTTTCTGCAAATGCGTGTAACATCATTTTGGCGAGGATTTGTTAAAAAGTTCAAGCATTTCTTTCCAAAATTGTTCACCTCCCTCTATTTTTGTGAACCGTTCTTCCCCTGTATGTGTGTGTGTGTGTGTGTGTGTGCGTGTGCGTGTGTGTGTGTGTGTGCACGCGCGTGCGCATTATGTGAACGTGTGTGTTTGTGCTGTGTGTAATCACAGCTGAGCAGACACTGACAGGAAGCCAAGTCCGTATCGCCAACAAGGATATCTGTTTACTGTCACAATGCAGTTGTAGATGCTGCCAGACTGAACAGTGAGCAGCACCTGTGTGTGTTGACCTCTGACCTTCAGGACCTTCAGTAGTTTGTCTGTCAGGTTAGAGCCAGAGGAAAGACAAATTAGATATATAGACTTATATGGAGCTGTGTGCCTATTGGTGCATTTACAGTAAATCATTTTTGCCATTGTTCCCATTGTAGCATTCTCCTGGAGTTGTGCTTCTTGTGACCTGTTCTATAATCACTCTACTTTTAGAAACTCCTGAGAAAAATATCAGGATCTTTAGCTACTAGCTTCACCAGCCAGGTCGCTAACTTTGCCTCTGTGAGCTGACAAGGTAACGACATCTATCTGCTCCATCTGGAGCACGAGAGTGGAGTTTGTGGACTGAAAAAAAAAAGATATATGTACTGTATATACATACGTATATGTTCAATTAAATTCAGGAAGCCTTATTTGTCCCCAGGGGTCAATTTAATGGCCACATAGACATTAAAGAACACACACAACACAAACTGCACACATTAAGTAAAACAACAGCGGTGCAAAACAAAACCTGTAATATTATAATGAGAATGACAATAAATAGCTGTAAAAATGTAGCTGTATGAGATATTATGTGCAATAAAAAAACATGTTACATATACACAGTATAGGTGCATATAGGTATATGAGCATTGGATAAATAGCAGCAAAGTCCAATAGCAGCAAGGTCAATATGGAAGTCACTGTATGATTCTGTGTGCAATATATATCTATATATATATAGTTGAATCATATGACTATGGTTATGAATATGGTTAGTTATTTGCTCTCGAGTTCTAATTAGCACCCACACGCAGAGCACATGCACAAATTCCAACATAAACCCTCCAGTGAGCTGAGCACTCTGTCCACGTTGCATGCACACCATTGCACACACATTACTGTAGCTACTGTATTACGCACACACTCGCACAACCGCACCAATGTTCCACTTGATTCCCCCTGACTTCTCCTACAGAGGTACACCGTGCCCCCGAGCCATCGCAGAAAGGGTAGCCGGGGCCCGACTAAATTAATAATGAAATATGTCGAACAAAGTGCAGGGCAGGACACAACAAGCTCCCTCTGCTCGCCGCGCGCTGCGATGCATCTGTCCTTTACCCTCTTGAGAATCTGGCTACACTGAGAAACCCTTTCGAAGCACAAGGTCTCATTCACGCTCGCCTCCTGTGCTAAGATGCCCTTTGCATTAACGAAAAATGGATTGAAATGGCTTTATCCAAGCAGCTTTCCTTTTTCCCTGTTCTCAAAAAAAAACTAAAAGAGGCAACTTAAAACTCCTCAAAACTTTCAGTGCATCACGAAGCATTTGTGGCTAAAGAAAAGTGTAACACAGAATCAATCATTAACCGTGCTCTCAGGGTGCTTATCATGAGGCTAAGAGGGGAGTTGGAGGGAAGTGGCATTTCACCCTCAAGACTATTACGCATGTTATTGCCAACAGGGGAAGAATTGCTCTTCAAATGAATAAAAAAACAAAAAAAAAAAACCCATTTTGCTCAGGAAGGAGAGGCGGCACTTCACAGACCTTCAGCTCGCCTGTGCGGAGGGCTGAGGAGAAAAGAAAGCGATGTTTGACAGACGTGAGCCATAATTTTAAAGTCAGACTGAAAGTAAAATCAAGTTTGTTAAGACATCAGTATTCTTATTGTTTGTTTTTTTGACTCAGTCTCATGAATATTTCATTCCCCCGGGTGATTCCCCAGCATCCAGTGACTCGGACAAACAACGGACCGCTGCACTCAGTGGCTGCCCTAATTTTGCCATACAGTGAGTGCAGGTGACAGGGAAGCTGCACCGCCTCATTCAACACCCATGTTTCGAATCATGACGAGTTACAACGAGTGCAACTTCTCATAATTCACATGAAATATAAATACTTCAGACAACCACATGCTTTCTATTGTTTGCATTTTTTTTTTTTCCAAACGGGCCCGAAGCATGTTTTTGGTTCTTATTTGTTTTCCACCATTCACCACGTAGTGAACAGCTCAGTGCTGCAGAAGTAGCGCAGAACTCTAAGCTACGCACTGATGGAAAAAAAAAAAAAAAAAGAATTGTTACCTTGGGCGTGTTAGCGGATTTGTGTCCACCTCTGCAGAAATAAATCGCCGTGGCTGTCAGAACCAGTTAATTGTAATGACAATGAAAATCCCTGTTATTTCACATCGCATTTGTGTTCCATCCTGTTCCCCCGTGCTGCTGAAATTGTTCTTTCAGTCCTCAGCTAACGGGTGTTGTTTAATAACCACACAGCATACTTAGCGCTCTGTCACAGTCAGTTTTTCCTGCAAAGCTCCCTGAGTAAAGCTGAAGGAAGTTCATTTGTCATTAAATTTCTCCTCAGAGTAGCGTTGCTGTCACAGCATCTGACAACACAGTGGTTTGTGATGGGTCTGCTGGAGAAAACGTGACTATATTAAGATTAAGCTTCTTGGTCCAAAATGCACCAAACATGTCTTGCTCCCCCCTCCCACAGAGACCCCTCTGAAAGATGGTGAGGATGCCGCGTCTTCGTCGGACTTGGCCTCAGATGCCGCCTCCTCGCTCTTCAACCACTGGGGTCACGACCTGGGCCCTGAGAGTCGAAGGGTCGCCCTCAGGAAGTTCCGTTACTACGGCTACAACGGCTACCTTAGTGACCGCATCTCCCTCAACCGGCCGATCCCAGATTTACGACCGGACGGGTCAGTCAGTTTGTCGATGGGTGCACTGTTAATGGATTCATTCATCAACGTGTGATGGTGGTGTGCGCCTGTATGGATCAAACCTTTTAATGCAATGATGTTTATGTCTTGACTGGGTTTCAGTGAAGAGTTTCTTTCTCTCTGTTTATTCCCCAGGTGTAGAAACATATCGTATTCATCAGACCTTCCTCAGCTCAGCATCATCTTCATCTTTGTCAACGAGGCCTTGTCAGTGCTGCTGCGCTCCATCCACACCGCCATCCAGAGGACTCCGTCACACCTGCTCAAAGAGATTATACTGGTGGATGACCACAGCAACAGCTGTAAGAAACCTTCTTCATAAGTTCATTTTTACCATGAGTTTACACTGAGCCTCCAAGAAACCCCCCTTTCTGACATGTGTGCAATGCATTCTGGTCTATTGAGCCGTCTGTTAGAGTGAGACTATATAACTTTCGCTACTAGCAGCCGCTGTTGCTGAAATGAAATGCAAATAAATGTATCTGGCTAAAATGTTGACATGTAAAGTACTAACAGTAGTTACTGTACAAGATAAGAAGAGTTGCTAATCAGCAAATTGATCTAGTAATGTCTATTATACATTAATATTTACCTAAAGTTTGCTAACATTAGCTAACGTTACGCTACTGGTCATACCAGACCAGCTAAAGGTTTTGCTGCAAAACCAGTGAGTTGTGTAGTTTTTAGTTTAGTTTTACACCAAAGAGGAAGAGCATGCCGGGGCTGAAAAATTAAGCCATCACAGAAGCGTATGTTTGCCACAAACTGGCATGCGCCACACAAGCCCCACTTCTTTGCCCATTTTTGGGATTAGCTGGGAGTTAGGCGGAGTCATGCACTGCCAAGATGGCGACAGCGGAGCAGCCTTATAAACAGTCCATGCTTCTCCCTAAAGTTACATAGTTTCACTTTTAAGTATAACCTGATCTCTCTGCCAAGTCCATAAACGATTGTTGAACTTTGGCACCAAATGGAAGAAAGAAATCTCTGCTGTTTACTGCTGTGACAACACTGCAGCCAAATAAAGAGTTTGTTTAATTCACAGCAGTTTGATGAAGAGTTTCCCATCACATTATAGGGCAAAGATCCAAAGTGGAATAATTAAACTCTGAGTCTTGTATAGTAGGTGAGCTAAAGCCTAGACCGTCTATATTTTATGTCCCACTTATTTTATATTCTGCTTTGGAAGGTGCAGAAGATCAGGACATGTGCAGGCATTAGCCGCATCACTGGTGTATGAAAACAGATTAAAACTTATTACAGCAGTCACAGACGAGGCATGGGTGCGACTTGTCTGTTGGAAGACTTGTGTTAATAATTGCATCACGTACTATGGAACATATTTCACCGCTGCCAAATCTATAATTACCATTATGAGAAATCTGTCTCTGCTACCGTCGCCTGCAGATTTTATGGGTCTCTCACTGCTCCTCTGTTCTTCAATAATACAGTATATCGGAGTTTAGTTATGGTGGTTGCACAGGTTGAATGCTTATTAGTGGAGCAACCAGGAAGATAAATAGATTTAACATTTGCCTCAAATAATTCCCTTTTAAAATTCTGTGGAAAATATGATTTAATGCTTTTTCTTGCCGGTGAATAACAATTACATGTTGATAACTCATAATAAACGTAATCAATGGAAGATAACTCAGTGAAAGCGCATGACCATTACTGTTGCTTATAGATCGTACATGGTGTAATTATGGTAAATGAGAGTTAAGTGAGGTTAGAAGAAGGCAGAAGGTTAGATGAAGTGCAAGTACAGTCAGACTCATGCACGGCCATCGGAGGAGTAAATTAGCAAAGACATCATGGGTTGTATTCATCCAGCCTCAAAGTGCTGATCAAAGATCACTGGGCCGTGCAATCCTCCATTTACGTCACAATGACATTACATTGAGTGACTCTGTCCCGCTGTTAGCCAGATCTCTATATCATAACTCACAGGAATTCCACAGTTTATTGAACATCAGGGCTGCAAGTGATGATTATTTTCACTATGATTTAATATAACAAATATTACTGATTCCTGTTCAAGTTGGCGCTGCAGATGGCAGCCTCCGTGCAGCGCTCTCTAGTACTTTATTAGTCTCTGTTTATTCTCTGCGTGTCCGGTTCCTGATGAAACCTTTCACTAGAGAGGAACTAATTAACATCAGGCAATTCACTCCAGGTAGTTTTTCACCAGTTTTCACACACCTGGAAAGTTTTGAAGATGGTAGTTGGAGGAGCACTGAATGGAGGACACGCAAACAGGGAAGTGCCAGTGTGGTAGCGACAGATTTCGAACTGTGCTACCGTCAGTTCACCGGGCAAACCTCCGCTCCTCACGTAACAAAATAGACGCGCTGTTTCTCATCAACAGGATGAACAAGGACTCCACGTTCTGCTGCCCCTTTATTTCACTGAAACTTGGCTCAGTGAAGCCATTTCCCCGACAGTGGCTTGAATATAAAGTGATGAAACGGACAGCTTTTTTACTATTTACTGATTTAAGATTAAATAATATAAACTGCCCTGTGGCCCTCTCCTGCTCTGAGCCCAGTCTGAGTGGTCAGGGCGAAAGCATTACACTCCACTCACGTAACACACCTGCTGCTGTGAGAGAGCGGGGATGATAATTACACACTGTAAAAGTCCCAAACGCCAGCAGAGCAGGAACAGGAGAGCGAAATAACTCACTGAGCCCCAGTGGTGAGGATATCACGTGGTGTGTGAGTGTGCACAGCAAGCACACGTACACACTAACACGCAGTGAACTTATGTTGGGAGAGCAGGCAAGGACAGTTGTTAGCAGTTGCTACAGTAAGTTAGACAAGAACCTGAGTATATATGGCGGCCTGCAGGAGGCTGCAGCTTCCATAGGTTGCCATGTGTGAAAAGACCCAAAATGAACACTGTAAGTGGACTACCTCTACTCTTACATCACAATCTCATTCCCACATGTAACCGCACATTATTGTTGTTTTCACTGCCACACACACCATTAATATTGTTTGTTATTTATATAATCTGTGTATTTCACATATATTGTGCATTGTCTATTTATTGTCTGCACTGAACCAAATCCAGAACCTTTACTTGGCCAATCTGATTCTGCTTTTTAATGAACTGATTAATTGTGAAAAAAAAAAAGGCCATCATGATTGGCTCAAGGGACGTTGGTCAGTCCATGATTTCTGAATTGCCATAAAAATCTTTTTGCACCGAATTTCTAATGGTTCCCAGGCAAAGACACCTCATGACTTGGTAATAAAATAACCTTTCATATAGTGCCACACTGAGGAGTTCTTTTTGGATTTTTAGTGAAATTTGGTGCAGATGTTTATGTTATGGATGGACAGTAATAATTTTAGTGACTCTTTGACTTTTCATCTGGTTCCAACCGGTCAAATCTTTAATTTGTCCAATACATTTGGTTTATAATCACATACCTGCAAAAGTAATTACTTACCCAACATTTGCTAATTGGCAAATGTTAGCATGATGATACTCTAAATTAAGATAAACATATCTGTTAATCATTAGCATGTTAGCATTATCACTATAAGAACAATGCTGATGGTAGCACGTAGCTCAGTGCATAGCGGTGCCTACATGCAGCCTCGCAGAATGGCTAGTACCCTGGGGTGACATCAACTGATGTGAAGATGAGTTCACGCGAGTGGAAAATGTTCCAGTCTGAGCAAAAAAAAGTGTTTGCATATTTGCTTCATGAATGCAGTGAGATGAAAGGAAAAAGGAGAGAGACTGGTGGTAAATAATCAAAAGAGCCAGAAGTTCAGTGAGAGGCATCAGTGCAACCCTAGCTAACACTGACGGCCCAGTGGTCAAATTCACATGAGTGATGCAAGGCAAAAAAACATTTGTTTCGCTTTCTGCCTAAACCCATTTAGTCTGTTAGAAAAAAACTACAGAATATCTTTGGGTTTTGGAGTGGTGGTCAGACAAAACCAGCTGGTTTTAGAGGGTTGAACACTTGAAATAAAATGTAGACGTAGCGAGTTGTCAACATGAGGTCATTTACAAGTCCTCACATACCATTTGGTTTCTGCAGACAGTGAATGCACCAATCTACTTTCCACTGAGAATCCTCTATCCCTCTGTTTGTGGTCAGACTGAACATAGTAGTTCCCACATCACGTCCCTCGAGTTACTATTTTTAGCCGACTGATGGAAAACAGAGCTTCTGTTGTTCAGACAGGCAACTACATTTGGGTAGCATAGACATCTGAAAATTAATTGGGTAACTGGACTTGATGTAATGACGGGATATTTTTTTTTTCATGTTTGGAAGTGATCTCCCATGTACGTGCAACACAAACAGGTGCTCTTCAAATACTCCCAACTCCCGGTTTTAAATGAGCCCGTCTTTCTTCCAGGTCAGCAGCAAACCGCGGCTCATTAAAGGAAAACAGAGAGAATACATAATCCAGGCTGATGGTTATAATGAATAGAGAGGGGAAGGCAGCAGCCGTAGCCTGCAGGAAGGATTACAACACAGAGATATCACAATGAGGAAATGAAGATGTTCGTTGTTTCACTGTGGGCAGTCTTTCTATCTCTCTCTCTCTCTCTCTCGCTCTGTGTGTGTGTGTGTGTGTGTTTCTGTTTTTTTCTGTCTACCTGAATGTGTGCAAAGCATATATGAAATCCCTCATGAAGACAGACGGGAGTAAGACTTGAAAGAAAGCAAGAAAAGAACAACATCAAATCTTAACGTATTCAAATTGTATATTGTATATTCATTGTGTGCGCCATGAACATGGGTTGAGTATCTGGCAGCGTACCAGTTTTTAGTTTTTATTTATGAACCCTTTCGATGTCTAACCTCGTCTGGGAGCATCTGCTTTGTTCCATCACGCTCTTTTAGCCCTGCTAACCGCAGAGCTCTACGGACAGCAATGTTGGTCAGTCAGTCAGTCAGTTGGCAGAGTCGGTCAGTAACGGGTTAGGTTTTTCAATTCAGCCGCACCGCACCCCCCGAAGAATGCCCGGCTTTGGGACACAGCTTATGTCCTATTTGCTCTGTCATGGAAAATATGCGGTTCGACATATAACATTAATTTTTTGCTTACAAAAACAGGTCAAATAGATCTGATGACTGAGAAGCACATTATGTCGTGGGGCGTCCTGTAACCTTTTCAGCCAACATAAAGTACTAATTCAGAGAAATAAATTTTCTGAACAAAAATTTGAAGAGAGGCTTTCAGATGATGCAACTACCCATCTTGGTTACTGGCTTGAACAAGTGTACTAATCAGCATTTTAACAGAAATGCAAACTTCACACAGACTTTCTGACAAATCTCTTTCCAATTCTCTCATTTGAAGAAACACTGAACATTTTCTGAAGTAAATCAATCCTCTTTGTAGAGAAGCACAGATTCCATCTAGGATTTCAGCAGATGCAATTACTCAGCCACCTTTTAGTTACTGGGCAAACACCTCAGTCCAAAATCTACAGAAAGGCTTCTCTACCAGCGTCCACTCCTCTTAAAAAGCTTTTCACAAGAGTTAGGAACCTGGCTGCAGGGATTTGTCTCCATTTATTAGTGAGGTTGGCCACTGATGTTGGGTCCTACGGGCTAGTTTGCAGTCAGCATTTCTGTTCCTTTTAGTTACTGGACATGCACATGTGTACTATCATCGAGTACACTGAGGTCAGGTGTGGTTTCTGATGTAGATATGCATATCACAGCTGACACATGTTCATCTCTGTCTGCGTCTTGTGGATATGTTGACCCAAAAAGAAAACGCCTCCTCTGAGCTTGATTCCTCCAGACCTGAAGTTATTCAGCCTGGAGAGGGACATAAGATTAAAAATCAAGTGAAAGGAGATGAAATCAAAATCATGTTACTTCCCAAATCATCATGACAACTCACCATGCAGGGCCTGAAGCGTGATGCATATCTCTTGTGATGACCAGCCGCTCTGCGCTTTACAACTGAGAAGCTGCTTCCCCACGAGTAATTTGGAGTTCAGTTCATTCATGAAGCCGCAGCACATGTCAACTATACTATTGATGAGCATAATGGCTGACGTGATCCCGTTGCACGATGGTCAATAGTTTTACCTAATGTCTTAGAGTTGATTGAAACTGGGATACAACAAATGGCCCCTTCCCCACTTCCAAACCCCCTTCTGTGGATTTGTCCTTCATTTTAAGCTCAACTACACACCTGTAAAGTTTCCTGACTGTATCTTGCACAGTTGTGACACTATTGTGACAAAATCTGTCCACAGACAAACAGACAGGCAGGCAGGCAGGCAGACAGACAGACACCTGTCTAAGTCCTCAGAACCACCTCTGTAGTAGTTCCTGCTACGACCACATTTTGCCACGATCACACACACACACATAAGGACTCACAAGGTGAAAATAATTCCAGCCACATGCTGTGTCGCCTGGTAACAGCTGGTTTTACAAGCTACTGCCCATGATGAATAAACTGCACTTCATGTGTAATATTGGTGAATTGCCACTTAAAAGGATTTAAGTGGCAAATTAGAAATTAGAAATAAGGACCAAACCATAAAAAAACAGTATGATGTCCACATACTTTTGTCCATAAAATGTATCCCAACCACCAATTTGGCATAGAAATGAAGGTTAGCTTAGGTTTTAGCCAGACTGACAATTGTAAACATCAGATCTTGCAGAGCTACACTTTCCTTTAGCAACCTAATCCTGCACAGCCTGTTTACTGCTGCCTGCTGCTCAGCAATTCAACTCAGCCACCTGCTCCTGCTCATCATCGCTAACATTTGGATTTATGTGCATTCAGCATGTTTGTCCATTCAATATGAGCTCATGTACATTTAATTGTGTATCCTCAGCTCTGCTGGGGGGGTTCATGAAATGTGAATGTGTGTTATTGTTGTAACATACGGATAATACTTTAACAAGTGTCTACACTGAAGGCAAATGTGTCAGTAAATTATTTTGAGCCCATGGGAAGAATGAGCATAACTCAGACCTTAGTGGCATTCACAAGGACACACACACACACACACACACACACACACACACACACACACACACACACACACACACACACACACACACACACACAGAGTCAAATGTTTTCCGCTGTCCAGTGGAGCTGAGGGAGTTTCTCTGGAGCTTTGTCGATAAGATCAATACTGGCTGAGACTGAGTTTGCTTTGACATCCAAGTGTGTGTGTGTGTGTGTGTGTGTGTGTGTGTGTGTGTGTGTGTGTGTGTGTGTGCTGTGGTGTGTCTGTTGCTGTGTGGTGTGTGATGCTGGTGTGTGTGTGTGTGTGTGCTCTCTCTCCCCAGTGGAGCTGAAAGAGCACCTGCAGAGCTTTGTGGACGAGACCAACACGCAGCACGGCCCAGGATTCATTAAGGTGGTCCACCACGACAAGCAGGAAGGACTGATCAGGTCCAGAGTCAGGGGCTGGAGGGCAGCCTCTGCGCCGGTGGTCGCCCTGTTCGACGCACACGTGGAGTTCAACACTGGATGGTGAGCGGCCACGCTTTTCATGAATCCGTAATAATTTTATCGCAAAAACCTTGGACTACTTTCATCTCCCCACCACCTCTCGGTGCCTATAGTACATTTTCCATCATAAGTAGTGATGTAAGACACATATAACCATATTAAACTACAATCACAGGTCCATGCTTCACAGTGCTTTAAACATTTACTGTTGGCTATTTGATTGATCCGTCTTTTGCCCATAAGCCACAGACTCCATTCAAAAATCATGCAGTTTTATGATTTGTTGAACTGAGGGAAACTTTCTATACAAACCCTTAAGTTTTTTACAAAAAAGGTTCAGAACAGCACTGGGCCAAAGAAAATGTCCAGAGTGAATAGGTAGAATTGAGTGCTCTGCAGCAGTCTGATGGCAGTGAACTAAAACAAGACAAGGTCAAAACCTTGTACATGTCTGGACCGCTTTTGGTCAAATCCTGATTTTATAACTGCGACGTCGTCTGACAAAACACCAAATGGATAAACACAAAGATTGAGCTGTGAGTTCAGCTGTATTTACACGTAAAATGATCACTCAGAGAGAAAGTTAGAAGAGACAGACTATCTTTCCTTTTTTTAAGTTATTTTTTTTTCAGGCTTTTGTCTTTATTTCAGTCATAGTAAGAGAAAGACAGGAAAATTGGAGTGAGACAGGGCTACAGGCGGGACTTGAATCTAGGCCGCCAAGTCCAAGTGGCACATGCTCCACCAGGTGAGCCACCGGAGAGAGACTATTTTTCATATTTAGTCTCTCACACAGCTCACAGCCGCCGTCTGGGATCCACAGTAGTTTAGTCTTTTTTTGCTTCCAACTCCAGAACGTAACAGACTTTAATTAGAGGCAGGTCTTTCTGTCTAACTCCCTCTGTTTGATATGTAGAGTTGGTCATAGCGATTAGTACGAATCCTCGTTACCGGTGACTTCTCCATCTCCCTCCCTCTCTGCTCAGTGTGTCTTATGTTTGGTTATTCAGCCTCCTTTAGTAATAATGATACATGTAATGAAAGTAGTTTTTTTGCTGAAATGGAGGCGAGGCTCAGTGTATTGGAAGCTTTCCTCCGCTTCGCTGCAGTTCCCAAGCAGCCGGTAAACCAGAGCAGCTCGGTAGACTGTGGCTCGTCAGTCAGTCAGTCAGTCAGTCAGTCAGTCAGTCAGTCAGCGACATTCACAATTATAGGACTGCCCCTGCTGTTGCATTGCTGCCAGCGAAACACTGCTCCTCCTGAGGGGTACATAAAGCATTGCAACTGAGTTCCTCACATGGTGCTTAGGGGCATTAACAAGACAGTGCTGCACTCACTACACCATCAAAGGGGATCACATATGAGCCATGTGCCGAGCAGGGACCCAGCGGGGCCCTGCCAAGGATCAGCCTGCCACAGACCAATGACTTTTAGATGGATATTACTGTATGTATAGTGTGAAACGAATTAGTCATAGTGATGAGCACATGAGGAGTTATTACTTGACTCTGCACTTCCCCTCGACTTTGCAAAGAATTTTAGCATCTTTGAGTTTGCAGTTTTTATTTTAAAGCCCACAACTTTACTGTTTTGATTCGCTCATATCAGCCGCATCAGGCAGCTGTTTTCAGCACAAAAAAAAATAAAAGAAAGAGAAAAAAAACCACCTACCCAGTACTAAATGGAAGACAGATAAAGTTAAAGATTAGCTGGTTAACCTCAGGAGTTGGTGGAGAACAAAACAAAGGAGAAATTATTAAAAAAAGAAAAAGAAAGGAGAGTGAATACTAATTTTAAATTTGTCAGGTGGACAGAAATATGACATGCTATGCTAAAATGAATGCTAATGTTGTGCTGTGTCGATGCTAGATGCGATAATTAGCAATAGCTTGCTAGCACATCCCACACAATAAGCTTTTGAGTTGAGGTAATAATGTGCCAGTGATGTCTTTATGATTTATTTTGTTGCTTCAAGTCAATCAATGCAGCTTTAAGTACAATTAATAATAATAACGTTCGTCTGGCTTGATCAGCTTGAACGTACAATAAACACCTGAAGAGTCTGGGAGGGCTGAAACATTAATCCAATAATTTACCATTGATCTGTTCACTTTGTTCAAAACACTAGTTTCTCCACAGTGAAGCTAGATTGTGTTGCATTATTTCCTCCTCACGGCTGTGAAGCTCCACCAGAACTAATATATTTCTCTATTTAATGCAGAAGTGCTGATTGTTTTCCTATGGACATTTTTCCGTTCGTTTGGCTCTGGATCTCTGCTGTAATCCAAAGAGACAGTTTTGATTTAACTTCCAACTTTGAATTCATCACCAGCAATCAGTCCAGATGTGATAAAACCAGACACCAAAATAAATGCAATCTGGGCAAATAGAGAGAATCTATGACATCTCAGTTAGGATGGGTAATGGATGTTGTACACTGCTGCAAGTGTATTTTACATTTATTCCTTCTTGTCTTGTGTAGCTGTAACCGGCTCTGTCTGTGACAATGAGAAAGAGAAGATTGAGACTGAGTAAAGAACGAGATGCTGAATGTCAGCGTTTATTCAATTCCTTTGTTTGAAACGTCCATGATTAAATTTGTTTTCCCTCAATACAACACTTTATCAAGGAGAGCAGCAGTCGAGAATTACTGAATTGCAAGAAGTGGTCTATTTAAAGCTGGTTTGTGAAGGGATGATTCAATTTTTTTCTGTTTGTGAGTACGACTAAGGACTGGTGCAGCTGTAACCCATTTTTTAAGGCAGGTGCAAACCTCCAGCTCCAGAGTCACAGAGGCAGACGAGTCATATTTATTAGTATTTTAGGTCACAGAGTCAGATGATTGCGAGAGCAGTGATGAAGTGATTTATGTGTACGATTGGGCGATATGACTTCAAATCAATATCACGTGTTATTGTGTTCCATGTGATTAAACAAATTGGTGGTGTTGCCTTCGGTTGCTATCCATGTTGCAATCACCACTGTCTGGTAGTGGACCGATGAGACCCAGTCAGGAGGCGAGGCAGGCGTCCGCATCAACGTTCTGTTTTCCTCCCGTTCAGACTACAACACAAAGCCGGAGTTTTCAAACTAAAAACGGGTCCAGCAGCTTTTCTAAAAGTCTAAAAAAAAAAAAGAGGCCATTAGAGCTCAATGCACTGCAACACATTCAAATAAACAAAACACAGACAAATTAACAAACGTGCTGCAAGTAGCACCGACGAGCAGATGGACTGTACATGAAACGCATGTTGATATCATCCACCGTGACTTACAGTGCCCCGCTACGCGTCCACCCACCGCCAGGAATATCTGGATCCTTAAAAATCTTAGAAAAGAAAAGATGTCTGTCTCAGAACTTCACTCCAGAAGCTTCATCTCTCCGCATCGGTCAACAGGCGATTCTGTTCCTCTGTTCCTCTTTAATCACACGTGGGGTTGATCTTTATAATAACCTCGTGAATTTATAACGCAGAGCTTTTTCTATGTGTTCCTGGCTGAGCGGGACATCACTACTTTTGCAACAATGATTAAAAGGACCATCGCCTTGTGTGATGAATTGCCAGGAGGGGCTTTGCTCCTGCCTGTGTTCATGCGTAAATAAAGGACACCACCTTATTACTTCACAAAAACAAAAGCTCAACAAACTCGTCCCTGTCCCTGGTCTCCCTTCCTCTCTGAGCCCAGCTCTGTCCTCTCCGTCTCCTTCGCCTAATGACACCATTATGTTAACATTTCTATAAGCACTTCATTCCTTTCGTTTGAAGATTTCATCAAATTACAGCCATCTCAAGGCAGCAGGTGTCTGTTCCATTTGCAGTCTCCAACAGGAGTGATGTTGCACACTGTCAAGCCACAATTACACACGGCAGAGCCACTGGTTTTAATTTTATGCTTCCAGCACCAGACTTCTGCGAAATAACCACAGACATTTCTGTTGCATATGCTCACATCAGACTTGTTGTTTGGATTAATTATTCTACAGTTTCTACTGCAAATCAACAAAGTGTTGGATACTAACACACTGAAAACACTTCACACAGGTTCATGAAAAATCCTCGAGCAATTAAAACTTCTCTCTCTGCTAACAACTCCCGTCTCCATCCAAGACGCACAACTTGCTCCGTCTCCGTCTGACCAAAGTAACACCTGCAGCGCCGCATCTTTAATTACAGTACAGGTAGACCAACACTGATTTATGTGTGGATCATTACGGAATCACCTTTGTTTTTGCAATATGAAGATTAACAACTATGTCATGATCAGAGTCCTGTTGTGTTAAAGGCGTTGAAAGTGAAAGTGATTGACCACGATTGCCACAACATCTAACGCGCCCACCTATAATGTGTTAGTGATGCAGGCAACGTGAACATGTTTAACAGCGGAACGGTTGCAGGTGGATGAAATATGATGTATGAGGAAAATATTAATTACACTCTCTAAATTTGTGAACATATTTTAAACATTTTTCATCAGGGACAAATTACTCTGTTATGACTCCTGAACAAATTACGATTTATGATTCATTCTGGGCAGCAGTCGAATGTTATTATGAACTTTTAAATAGTTTGTGTTTGGGAAGCAACAGTGACATTCAGAGTTTTAGATTGAATGGATTAAAAATGGGAGAAAGGGAGAACCTGTACTTTAAAGTTATGATGTATAACTTCCACATTCAGATGTTTAAAAATACCTACACTTATGTTATATATTTTTTGAGTTGTGTACATCCGTTATCCCAGATGTTTCCAGCAATTCTCAGTGCATATGTGGTTTTAATCGTGGGAACAGTTTGTTTCATTTAGTCGCCTGTCAGTGACGTCATATCCCCTACATGCACGTGTCAGCGTTGAGGTTTTATGGGGAGATACCTAGCGGCAGAAATTACATACTGTGCATTTAAATAAGTATTAGTTTATTTAATCCATGTGTACTTCGGTGTAATATGTTACCACATCATCACACTATAATATATTAAGATGTATACTTTCTAATCTCGCCCTGGTTCCAAGGGCGCTGCTGGTGTGCCAGGCACGGCTGGACACACTGGACAGGGCACGCTTGACTGATAGTAAACAAATCTATTTTCCAAAATGTTGCAGTGTTCCTTTATAGCTACTTTTTTTTAATATTCTTCCACCATATTACACAGGCATGAAGATTTGGTCCATCCTCTGTTTCATGCTGGTGCTTTCATATTTAGACTCCATGTTTCCTCTTTACTGCAGATGATCTTGATCAGAGTTTTGAGCTTCTTGTTGCATTCATTAGCATTTTAATGAGGAAAATTTCCATTTATTTGAAATAAATCTCACTCCTAACCTTTAAAGAGATGGAGTTCACATTAACACCATCCTTGTATTATGTCAAGACAAGTGTGTTGACACACAGTGGAAATATTTCCTAATGAATCCATTAAGTACCGTGAGTAATGGGAACACTAGTTAATTACTGACCTCATTAGCATAGCTGGTTATGTGTCATCTAGCGCTGTGGTGAAGACAGCTGAGGTTCATAACACGTTATCCTTCGCAACGCTTTAGCTTTTCTGACAGAAAATCTAGTGCTGTTTTTCTTTTAAACTCGACTCTAATGTCAGTCTGTTTGACTTGTGAACACTGCGTCACCTCAAGGTCGCCTCTTTAAAACACTTGGATACGACATCAGCGCCGTGTACCTGTTCATCATTTTGACAGGCAGAAAAATATCACACACTACCACTTGACTGAGAACACACACACACACACACACTCATACAAACACAAGTGCAATAGATTCATGAGCAAGCAACGCACTTGCAAGCTCGTCCTGCTCTTCTACACACGCACACACACACACACACACACACACTTCATTATAATGTCTGAGCTGTATCCAAAAGAACATTTGTTGCCGCTGTGTTCCAGATTAGAAACAAGACACTTACAAGGCTCTTAACCCCTCACATCCTCTACCCACTCCAACCCTCCCTCTCTCTCTCTCTCTCTCTCTCTCTCTCCCTCCCTCTCTCACACTAAACACACACACACCTCCCACATATTGCCACAGAAGGGGTATTGGTCTATGACTAATCAAATGATTTACAGATACAAAAGAAAGAGCTCAGCTGGAGATGAGCACTTTTTTTCTCTCTCTCTTTAAACCCCCTCACATTTTTCAACAATTGCAAAAGGAAGAAGAAGAATCTGAGGAGGGGATTGAGAGGCATGAAATCGGGCATGTGACAAAGAGTGCTAATCACGGCACTTATCGCCAGATATAGCACCAGAAAAAGAAACATTTAGACATTTCCCTCCTCCTCCTTTGTCTACCACGACTAACACCTTCGTCTTAATCCTCCTTCCTCCTGAAACCCACCCACCCTGTCACAGATTATATTTATATATATATAATCTGTAAATGTATTGATGTTATTTATAGATTTAAGACTGGGGATACACAATGCAAACTGAAAAAAAATAAGTGGGTATATGCCACATACTTGCACCACACCGCTGCCCTCCGCTAATCTGAAATCTTTCCCAACATTTCGCAGCACCCAACGTTTTAGCATTCAGCTGTGTGTGAGAAAATGATTTCTTCTGGGTTGACATAGAGTGTGAACAGTGTCACCTCTAACTTGAAAAGGTAGGGCTTTCTTTGATGTGGGGGTCTCACTAATCGATTGGCTACCTGACCCCCCCCCCCAGTAAATAGATTTCAAGCCTTTCTGTGTGGGCTCGCTGTATGTTTGTGTGCGTGTCGGTGTTAACGTGGATGTGTGTATAGAAATGAGAAAAGTAACCCAGGGGCGAGGTTTATCACCTAACGAACAATCAGTGTGCAGAGTGAAAGAGTCCCTCCTCCCCTCTGATGATGAGACTTTGTGATTGGTATTACCTCTGCACAGCTGGACTGATAAAACCTGAATGGTTGTAAGGCGAGGTTCTTCAATTGTGGTTTCTCTCTCATGAGACAGTCAAGGGTAGTTTGTATTTAAACGACAGCTTTTGGCAACGTGTCCCACAAGGCTACAAATATAAAGTTATTATTTTTCTCTCTCCAGTCAGCAGTCGTGTCTTGTCCAGATCAATAGGAACATTTAGAACCAGATAAGTAGCCTGGCTGTGTCAAGCGGAGTGCATTAATGTAAATGCTCTTATCATTTTCATTAAAAAGGGCTTATTTGTACGTTTTCTCTCCCACCGAACGCGGTGTCTTGCCGGGAGCTTCGGCCATTGTTGCGTTTACAAGACAAGAAGTTATAATGAGCAGCAACAGCAGCTGTGATTACTGTCCAGGTTGCCTACGAGCCTTGTGAGAATCGTAAGAGCTGTCCGACGTGTAAGGCCGTAATCTCAGCTAGCTCTGCGGCTTAGACACTCAACATCCACTTAATCTCATATTACCTGATCAAAGGCAGAGCTTAGTTTGTAGTCCAGGCTCTCGGTGTCTCCTAGTTGGACTCTAGAGATCCAAAGGTGATCTCTAGGTGCTGAACCCCTGAACTCCTCACGCTGCAGCTAACCTTACCCCCGGCAGATCTGATTTCTCCCGCATGGTCGGGTGCACTGGGATCTCTCCAGGACCTTCCATTCTAACCAGCAGCGCCTTACTGCTCGCACTGGTTCTGCTCTGCTTTCCCTGAGGAGCCAAGGCCAGCGCACCTCCAGTCATTGACTGAGCTCCATCCTCCCCGCTCACTGGTCGATTGACCTTCCTAATCCAGTCAGGACTGCAGACTCACTCCCCAGCTTCCAGACTGGACTGACAATCCCCCTCACATCCTCATTTCACTTCCTCCTCTCTCATACGTTATTTTATCCAGCTGGTCTCCCTCCTGTCATTTATATGTTTTTTTATGATTCTACTATTATACTATAAAAAGCAGATGCTTTAAGTTGCATGGTTTCTCAGAGTCTTGAGGTGAAGTTGCATCAATTGACTTTTGGCCACTATGGCATCAGAAAAGAAAGAAACATTAAAACAAAGCAGATAAATACAAGTTACTCATACGAATGGTTGCCAATTTACACATCCAGCTCACACAGAGCAGCAATAATGTTCAGTTGGAGTTTTGTTTCTGGCTACACGAGAAATGTTGGAGATAAAAGAAAAAAGTATTTAGTCTCAGTTTGGTCTCCAGCAATCTCTGGGTCTTCTTGACTACCATCACCGGGTCGTCGTTACCTTTGTTCATCCGCAGTTTGGTCCCTGTGTCAACGATAATAATAATGTTTTTGTCATGAATAACAGTGTCACCACAGAGCATTACTTATGATATGAAGCCAAGTTTTCAGGGCATTTAACAAAAGGAAGAAGAATGAGTTTGTCGATGGCCAGGTCTTGTTTTAGCTGAGGTATGTGTTTGTCCCTGTGGTACAAATCTTTGTATTTTATTTCTTGTACGTTTGTTGAACATCAAACTCCTGAACTTGCCTGGAGATATTTCAAAACTACTGTGACTTTCATTTTTAGTTTTCTCCATTTTCATTTTCACATTTCTGTTCAACCGTCATAATGATTACTCACAGTATCCCAGAGCGACGGGTTGGCGCCCTAAGACTATTAATTCATCTCTTTTCTTTTTTTTTTTAACACATTCTACCTGCGCTCTGTCGACCCACAGGGCGGAGCCTATTCTGCAGCGAATAAAGGAGGACCGCACCCGGGTGGTGTCTCCCTCGTTCGACAACATCAAGTACGACACCTTCGAGATCGAGGAATACCCGCTGTCCGCTCAGGGCTTTGACTGGGAGCTGTGGTGTCGATACCTCAACCCACCGAAGTCCTGGTGGATCCAACGCAACCACACAGCCCCTATCAGGTAAATGCAGGAAGGACGGCAAGACCTTTGTTTTGAGCGATACAGTAAAAAAAAACGATGTTGTATCAGGAAAGAAGTGAAACACCAGCAAAAATAAACAGTCACTTCAGTGTTCGTTATTAATAAATTGCCTTGAAGCATATTGGAGTAGGTTTGATAAGATCACTTAGGCTACTAAGCTCATTATTTTTTACATAATAATTTCTCGAAACACTAATCCCCACGAATAATTATGTATGTAAATTCTGGTAAATGTAGTGTCTCATCAGAGGCGGTGGGCAGTTACACAGCTTTAAGAGGACGAGCAGGTGATTTTATATAACCTGAAGTGGATGTAATGATCCAGATCTTCATTACTGTTACTGGCAGGAAAACATTACCAATATGACAGATAAAGATTGGCTTGGCTGTGCAGCAGAGGCAGCTTCAGGAAAAAAAAAACAAAAAAAAAACAGCCCGGCAACAAGAGCGAAATTACCTTCCTTACCTGCAAAAGGATAATATGTCCGCCGCTGTGGTTCATGGCCAGAAAATCAATAATGCAGTGTTTATAGATTTGGACAAAGACAAGAGGACATATCCTGCTCAATATTGAAATGGAGGAAGATAAATGGCTCCAATTGTTTATTTTTCTATCCTCTGTCGAAGTCTTGCTTCGTCTCAAGTGCAATTTGAAACTGTATCTGCTCACAAGTAGCAGTCAGTGACTTTCAGGCATTTTATTAAAGTCATGATTTATTTCTGATGTAAATATGTATATTTCGTGTTTCATTTTTACAAATTCAAGTGAAAACTCTGGGTTTTCGCAGACCGGGCAAAGTGTGTAACTGCCCCAGGGCCCCGTGTTCACTGGAAGTAAACTGCTTTTTGATTAACTGGAAATTTGTTTGGGAATTTGCAGCTCTGAAGTATAAGAACAGCTGAGGTGATCCTGTGTTACTGAATAATGCTGTGACCCTGTTCTTTACAGGGGCCCTGTGTCAAAATCTATTTAAGAATCTTTATTATTTTAATATTATACTGTGTTCACATGAAACTCGTTTCAAAGTTTGTAGTCATATTCTAACACAGTGGTGCTGTGCTTGCAAATGCTAAAGCTGTACTGTCTGACAGGGCACAATGCACAGAGGGCAGTGGGGATTTGCCAGGGGGGGGGGGGGGGGGCATGCAGCACATTTGTGCCCCTAATGTTGTTCATCAAGGATCTGTACTCCTCTGCAGCTCACTACAACTCATATCTCACGACAGCACTAAGTTGTGTTTCATGCATTGTGAGCAGTAAAAACCATTTGATTTAGTTTTGAAAAGCAAAAACCGTCCACGGAGAGGTGGGGGATGAAATGCTCGCTCTGCTCTTCAGTAACTTGGGCGTGGGAGCGTTAAAGAGGAGGCACGGAGGGAGAGACATGAGGCAAAGACGGGCCCCGCTGCGTGAGATGAATTTGAGTCGTTCGTCTTCTCTGTGTCATAACTCATTCAAATCCTCACACACAGACATGACACACACATTGATATCACTCAGTGTGACTTACTCTTCCCGAGGATATCAGTCTCTGATGTCCGCTGCAAATAAACATCTATTAATCTGCAGAGGAATCGTAGATGTAAAGATGCTTCAGAACTTACCTGTGAATCATCCCATTTTTAAGTTTCCTTCGGTGTCAAAGTAATGCAGTGGTAGTTGTCAGTGCATCCGTGGATACACTGCAGACAGAAACTGCTAACAGCTAATTCAGCATACCTTTAATGGTGCTAATGTGTTGAAATGTAAAAAAGACAAGCAGCTCTCCCAGCAGAGAAAACTGAGAGATCCACTTTAAAACAGGATTTGAATTACAGTGGGACCAGCAAACTTGCTGGTGAAAAATGACCCACATAGATGCTCCGGACTGATCAGTGCAGGTAATGTTGAAATCACCTTACCTCCCCTAGAGGAGTAAATCCACTCCGAATGGGGTTTAATACATTTAAATCTACAGTTTTACTATCATTCCCCCCGTGGAAATCTTAAGGGGAAAATGTAAATGCTATGAAGTTATTAAAGATCAAATGTTTGCCTGGGGTGAAGCCAACATGCAAATCTAATATTTCCACACGCTCTGACGACCACCGGCGCCGGCGCGGCGCAGCAGCAGACTTTTACGCACATCCAGCAGACAAGAGGAGCAGAGTGGAGAGGCACAAGTCTGAGGAGCCGTCTGACGTAAACACGAGCGAGCGGACCTTTCATCATTTCACACAGAAAACATTTATTTTACAAGAATAACAGACACAACCTGCTGCTAGATGAAAGGGTAAAGATAACGTTACCAGCCAGTCGGAGGCAGTTACTGGCTACTAACTAGCTGCTTGAAAGGTTTCTCAGCTGTGAAGGTCAAGACAGCTGTTTCATCATCTGTCTATTTTGTTGGCTCCGTCGCGCTTTACATTATCTCATGTACTCAGTGTACTGTACTTTAAAAATGACATTGTTGAGACCGAACAGTGTAAAATACATAATAATATAATAACTAATATGAGATAATAACTCTGATGTTTGAGACATGTGATTTCATTGTGCTGTTATCTGGAGGCTGTAGAGAAGAGGATGTGCTGAGAGCTGGTGGTGGGAGGGCCTCGCTTCTATTTGCATTTTTTGGGGTTTCAGTGTTTCTGGCTGTTTGCCAATCTGTGTATCCACAGGGAGGAAAAATCCACCCAAACAAGCTGTTTTTGCGGCGCTGCTGTATTTCATATCGTTAAGAGGAGATGTGTGGGACTGACAGCGTGAATACCAATAGAAGTTATATCTCTCTCCTGTTGATTCGGTTTGATGTTGATGAAAGATCTGTTTGATTTTTTTTTTTTTTTTTCCCTGGATTTCCCCATAATGTCCTGAATTTGTTGTGTTAGTTGAGGGCATCATTTTGACAGCTGAATCATTTGTAAGTATAATGCATAATGCATAGAGTTTCATGAAAGGCTAAGGTCTGTGTTTAGAGCTTCAAATGTGCAGCAAAAATGGATCTTCAGGGCCATGTTGCCCAGTGTGGGGCTAATTGTGTCTTAGGACTGTGCTTGTGTGTGTGTCTTGAATATTATTTTGCATTTAAACTATCAAAATTTTTGCATTTTGTTCAATACAAAAACATTTTTTTCACCTCCTTGTTTCCTCTGATAACCGTCTCTTTTAGGAGCCCTGCTCTGATTGGCTGCTTTGTGGTCGACAGGAAGTACTTTGAGGAGATTGGCCTGCTAGATGAAGGTATGGAAATTTACGGGGGAGAAAACGTGGAGCTCGGCATCAGGGTGAGTTGGCTTGACAACCTATATCTAATTATCATTATTTATCTTTTTTAACATTTGCACATTAACAATTTATTTATTTGTTTAAACAAAGGCGCAAAAAAAACCCATATGCAGATAAATATGTGTCCTCATGTGATTGGCTGTTTTTTATTTTTTCTGTCTCATATCTCATATATATATATCAATCTGTCTTATTTAAATGTTACTTGTAATATGTTTTGTGATGACCCTGATGAAGGCCACAAGCCGAAACGCGTCGGTCTAAAATAAAGTTCTTTTGACACAAAAAAGTGATGAATCCAGCTCAGACGCACTTGTATAGATGTATTATAATACGTGTAATATAATACATCCATGCGCACTTCAGTGCTTTTAACTTCAAAAGTCACAAAGCACTGAACAACACGTGCTTCTCAGCCAGGTTCGTCACATTTTAGTGTCCCCTGGAAACACTCGTCTGTGCTACTTGCGGCTCATTTCTGTATTTGAGCATTTGCAGCACGTGCTGTCAAATTGATGAAGATGTTTTCTGAATTTGTGTGTGTTGAGCTCTCAGCTCCTCCATAATATCCTGAGAATATCTCATTAGCCGCACATCTACAGCAGACCCCATGTCGACACTATACATTTCTGCACCCCAGCATGCACTGCTCCATACTCTAAAAATACCTGTAACACGGTGTAATTTGGCTCTGTGGTATATACCACAGAGGCACCAGCAGTTCTCAGCGAACAGATTGAAACATCCTGGACAGCAGACATGTTCAGCATACAGAGGAAGAAGAATGACCTTTTCTTTGACAGAATGGGGCTTTATCAGTCATTCACATTATTCATTTAGTCTGACTCAAGCAATCTGAGCTGATTACTAATGATGTCACAAAGGCCAGATAACACTATAAGCTAATGTAATGACATTACATACATTTATCACATTATGATGAATGTTTCTATTATTTCAGTTTCTGGCAGTATTTAGCATGAAAATGTTTTATGTAATTTTCAGCAAGTTGAACTGCGGTTACAATGTGAACGGTTCTTGCAGTGATTTCATCTTTAATCTGATCTTCAGAGAGAGATGGCTCCGCAAAAGCATCATCCTCCTGAGACTGCAAATCAGTCCCGAGAGGACGCAACTGTTGGAACAGCTTTGAGACTTAACAGACGCAGGAGACATCAGAGAGAAACTGTTGACTCGCGCTCGGTGTGGTGGGGATTTTAAGCGCGGTGTCGGTGACGCACAGATTTGGTTTCGAGCTCAGGCCCTGGCTGACGCTGATCACACTCTGGAAAATGTGTAATTCTCTCAGGCTCGACCATGTCAGGTTCAGCTTTTCGCGGACGGCTGTGAACAATCGATGATAGGAGAGCTTAAAGAGAAGATGGATGGGTGATTACTGTGCTGTGCCCCCCTATCCTCAAAAAGAAAAACGCACTGCAATGCAGCTACACTGTCATTAACTCTCAGTCCTATCGTGTCCAGTGGAGGTGTTGATAGTTGTAGCTGCGTCGCACCGACTCCCCCTTACTCCTTTCTTCTGGCCCTTCCCAGTAAAAGAAACTCACTAGCCATCAATAAACTGTGGAAAAGTATGAAGGGAGAAAAAAGGAGAATGAAGCTTGCCAGCAGCAAATACCTACCTTACTATTTTTGTGACTGACACTCAAGCAGAACACTGCCCACATTTCATATTTTATTTATTTCCTTGATCATAATTCTGAAATAATATTTAGACTTACAATTTAAATGTTTTTTACCCTGATTATAGTAAAGCTATATTACTTTTTGGTGCCAGTATTTAGTGGAAGAGTAAATGCAGCTTAGGACACATACCTTGGTTATACAGGCCTTTACACCTTCGTCCTATCTGAACCCTCCAACACATTCGTGTGGTGTGTTTGCCATAATAATCCTTAGCGTCATATTGATACAGTTTGTGCCAGAAATCATAGCAGTTGTTCTCTGAGTCATATATTTGTCAAATCTGAACACACAGACAAAATGAATCCAGTGCTAGTTGTCGGCACATTCATATTTATAGTGCAAATAGGAACTGCTAATAGCTAATTCTGCACAACTTTTAATGGTTAAAATCTGCCACAATGTAAAGAAGTGTAGGATAAGAATCAATCTGAATGAAAATATATTGTAATAAAATATGGTAATATACTGTTTGCCTGCCTGAGTCACATGTAGTGACTCAGCTAAAAGCCTGTAAGTGAAAACTGAGCATTAAAAGCCAGTGTGGAGTGGAAGTGGATAATAAAGCCATCCGACAGTGAGTCTGCAGACATGCTGACTTGACATTCTCCACTTCCTCTTATAGCAGAAGAATGTCTGTTGAATAATGCTCATAATTTAATTTCCACCCTGCCGCTCAGTAAAAACTGATTTGGTCATGCACATACAATAAACCTGTGAGTGCACTTTCCTAACATTACCAGGGAAATTGACACCAGCAGCGTTTTTATTAAGCGTTTCTGGACCATTGCGAAATGTAATAATTCACACCAACTCTGAAGGACACACGGCAATGCAGGCAGTGTCCACAGACAGCCACTGAAATCACACAAATGTGAGCAACTGTGACTGTAATGATCAACCAAGGCCTCGACTCACTATGTGCTTTATGGCGGCAGTAACCATGTTTCTATTAACCGGCTTAATGTGCATTTGCGAATTAAAAACAAATGATGGAAACACACAAATTCGCTCGAATGTGGTGGTTTTACAGAGTATTCGACAATGGTTCAAATCCTGGTGGACATCAAAACATCCATAAAGTTTTTACCAGCTCCATCAGGGTCTTTATCGGCTCCTTCAGTGTCATTTCTGCGACTGAAGAGGCGTTTGTTTTGGTCTGAGCTGCTGGTGGTCTACTGCGACATCTAGTGGCAATGACGATTGCTTAAAGAACCTTTAAATATTACAACACCTATTGTGATGGATGTATGTGAAATCACCATCCCAGCACTTAGCAGATGCTGGAAATCCATCACCATGTTTAAGTGGAATGATATCGCGAAAAGAGAAAACCTAGCTTCATTAGCATAACATCACTCAGTGGAAACACAGACCATTCGCAATTGTGTTTTGTCAACTTTTCTAAAATAAAAAAATCGCTTTGGTTTTGTGTGAAACTGCCATGGAAATGCAGATACTATTTCGGCTGCAGTATGGAAAGTAAAATAAATCAATCAATTGGCCCAAGAAGAAAAGGTGCCGTTTTCTTGGTGTATTTATTACCCATGAAAAATATTTTTGTCCCTTGATCTGTGCTCCTGCTTCAGAGGACAGTGGATTAAATAAATGGAAGCCTTAGTGTCCCTTATGCACCTTCGATGTCTCGTTTGTGTTGTAGCTTTCTCACCGCAACACCTCCAGAACATATACAATAAAGTAAAATAACAGGAAGCATCCCTCCGCTCCTCTCTAAACTAATTTGATTTATCTCATACACGTCTGTCTGTGGGTGGCAGCCGACAGGGAGCGTAGCGAATGCATCTCAAAGTTTCCCCTAGTAATTTCATGGCCTCATCCAACCCCCTTAATGCAGATTGCCCTCCACAGCTGCGGTTGCGACTCCACACAGAAAGACCCTGCAGTGAAGGGTTAGTGAGTAGTGATCAGTTTGGGTCGGTCCTTTTGGCAGCGACTGCAGGAGCTGGCTCAGCTTCCGCTTCATACATGCAAAAGATACTCATAACATGAACCATGGCGCACTAAATATTCCCTTTTTAAAATGCTTTTGACCTCATATCATAAACGTTTTATGATGCCATGAATATAAATGACCAAATGTGCCACAGGCTTAAAATGTCCTGTTGTTTTTGCACATTTTGGGACATGGGTAGTAATGTGTCTTTCTTTGGCTCATAAAAATGTTTATGCATGGCTCGGGCTTGACTTTCTCCACGTGAGGCCTGACTGACCCTCCACAGTCGAGTATTATAAGTTCGATAATGGCTTTCTCCTTAGTGCCCCGCTGCTCAGCGACCGTGAGGAGTTCTGCAACGTTCAGAGAGGTTATTCTCTATTATAGAGCTCTTTTGGCACATAATTCTGCATAAGCCCCTACTGTAGAGACAAATTGCTTGGGCACCTGTTGACAGTAGCACAGAGGAGACTTGGATTGCCAGGAGTAATGCACAGTGCTGCAAATCAGTTTCCTCTCTGCAGCTATGACAACAAAGTCTGAACTGAAATGAACCTGTTTTGGTGGAGAGGCACTTCAGAGCTGCTGTTGAGCTTGTTGTGCAGTTGTTCACACTCCACGGTTGGTTCAGAGACGCGGGGTGTGGGGGCTGGAGCTGGACATGTTTACCCCTCTATATCTATCTCTATGTGATGTTATTGAACAGTTTAAAAGCAACATCTGCCAGAGTATTGACAATTCATTTTTATGGCAAACACTTCCAGCGCCACAGGGGGGGCCAAACAAGCCCACCTAGACACACACAAACACACTATCGTTATCAGCTTTTTCATACCACATAGTCTCAACTATAAACATCAAGAATGACGAGTAAAAGTCAATATTTCCATTTTTTGGAAGAATTTTTCCAGAGTAGCAGCCTGCACTGCAAAAAGCCCCAATTTCAGATCAATGATTATGTAAATCAGCAGTGATATTTTGACAGAATCAGTTCTGCACACATGTCTCAAGGGCATTGCTCTAACTCTAACTAATTCATCGTGTGTTGAGTTCAATCCGAGGTTTAAGTCAGAAAACAGCCAGTTTGTTCTATTTCTATTTCCGTCACAGCAAACACAGGCGCCTTTTGTTATCAGCGATGTGATTTCTTTATTTTTTTCTCCAGTTTCTGCAGAAATGCTCCATATCTCTGGCCTGCACGCTCCTATTGTGATAAAGATTGCTTTTATGAAGCTTCTTGTGCACCATATTGTAATATTGTGCATATTTAATGCTCATTGTCTCATGCCTTTTTTCTTCATCACATCAGGCGGTCATCCTTGGAGTAATTTATAATTCACAACTTCATTTGTTGTCGCCTTTACGCCTTTCATTTTTCTCATTAAAACTTTTAAAGGCACGAGTCCACGAGCGAGATTTGTTCCACATTAAACCGAGTCGGTGAGGATGTGGAATGTAAATGTGCTGCGTTTTGTTTGGGTGACACACGCGCAAATCAGCGAGACACATTTTAATGACGTTTGATGGGTAAGAGTTGGCACATGACCTTGTTTCAGCCCACGTGAGGAGGGTTTTTATTTAAGGAGAAGACAACAAAACAAGAAAAAAGAAAGGGCTTTCGGAAAGGATGAGTCAAGAAGACTTGGAGAAGCTGTTATTCTCTCTCCCCGTGTATTTCACTTCCTTTATCTTCCCTCTGTACTTCCCACTTTATCTCCATTCTCTTTTATCCCTTTACCCTCTCTGTTTTATGTTTCACACTTCCTGAATCTCTCCTCTTTCTCTTTCTCTTCACTGCCCGCTTTTTTTCTTTTTTTCCCGTCTCAGTCTCTATCTTGCTCTGCACACCCACATGCTCAGACAGAGATTGTTATACTCGAAGAATAGTTCCTTCTACTCTAACCCCATGTTGTAAATCCTTTATAGAGAACGCTGAGGTATTTCTGAGGGAAGCATGTATTATCTCCGATTTTGGCTCTAGTTTGTGCTCCTGCCTGGGCACCGGGCCAGTGCTACAGTTTGACTGTTGTTCTGCAGTAGCTCTTTGCTTTGCAAGGTTACAAGGAAGGAGGCTGGCCGGCAGGAGGGATTATAGCACAAACACACAAACAAAGTGCAGGACTGGAATAGAGAGCATAGGCGTTTCTATTGAAATCAGCATTCTCCAGCTCTTGTTTCTTCAGTACACTGAATTGCTAAGGTACCTCTGCAGAATTTCAAGCAGTGCAGTGAAATTAGCATTAAAGGTTCACTTCATAACAGTCAGAAAAGTGTGTTACCACGGCAAAAGCATGGAAAAAGATAAATGGACTGCACGTATATATGTGGGGTTGCGGATCAAAACCAAGGTTCCAACCAGAAAAAAAAAGAACTGAAGAATTTCGGTTCTGCTTATCGGTTCCTAATGACAACAGGTTGCACATCAAACCTGAGCAGCACGGCGTCGATCTGAAAGATGCACAGTGTCTGATGTGCTGCTGATGCTGCTGCAGTGAATCATAAAGTTCAGCTGCTGCACATCGGTCTATACTCAATTCACCTTTGGATCAATACGTGCAGTTTGACATTGACTCTGGTGTTTCTGCTGCTGGAGAGGATTTACTTCTGACTACAAAACTGTTTGATTCTTAGCCACCATTGTTTCTTTTGTTTTTTTTCCTTAAATATTTCCAGAGTATTATTTTCTTCTTGAAGTGCCTCGGCTCAAGAGTTTAATCTTGTTTACATTTGCTTGTTTTAACTGTTAAAATGACCTCTGGATGAGGTGTACATGTGTTGATAGTGGGGATGGTGTGTGATGTCACTGACTGGTAAAATATAGGACAAACAAAAGATGCTTAATCTTTGTTTTCTACACCTGACCTTCCTTTATTAACCATTTTGGAATCAAATAGGGAATCGACAAGAACCATAATCAATAAGCAGAATCTGAATCGATAAAATTAAAACGACAACCAACCCTATCTACCTACATAGCAGCGTTTCCTACACACACACACACACACACACACTTACATACTTTTTGAAGTTCAGTATCTTGCCCAAGGACACTTTGAAAGGCAGATCACATGTCTACATCTTCTGAGGAAAATTGACACGTGCTCAGTTCCTCAAATTTTCAATTAAAACATCTGAAATGGTTAAAATCCTGAAAAAGTAAAAAGTAAAGTTAAAGAAAAGTAAGAAAAAAATACAGTTAATGAAAGAAGTTGAAACGGCGATTAAATGGAAGTGCAGAAAAAAAGTTCCGATAAGTATAAGCACTGAAGGGTTGAGTCGGGGGTAAGTCCTGAGGGAAACTGAAGTATCATCTGAAGTTCAACCACTGAAATGTTTAAGATGACCAAAGTGGGATAAATTGAGCTGGAAGTGTCAGTTGAAGGTCAGTCACTGGGAGCAGATGAACTGTGAGTTAAAGAACAACAGATAAGGGTGGCTCCCCTGGTAGAGCGCGTACCACAAAGGCTTAGTCCTAACCTTTGCTGCATGTCATCCCCTCTTTCTCTCCCTCTCCCTAACCTTCCCGTCCATCTCGCACTGTCCTATCAGAATAAAGGCGAAAATGCCCAATAAAAAGAGAACGGCAGATAAAAGCTGTGGAAATGTTAGAGGAAGAGTAAGAAATGAATGCAGTTGAAATGTTAGTTATAAGATTTGAATACCAGCTGGTGACTCGGCCATAAATGGAGCTACTTTACCTGTAATACGCTCATGCTTATACACCTTGTTATGTAGTGGAGCTGAAACCTGTAATGTAGTACAGCTAAAATTAACCTAGGCAGTTATAGATAACTGTCAAAAGATGCCAGGAGGCTGCACACTGGTGTCGCATTCATGATGAACCAAATCGGAAGATTAATTTTCTAGTTCATGAGCCTATCACGATGCCAGCGAGGCTTGTGTATGTGAACATATTTGACAGTTTCTGCTGTCAACAAATAGCAGAATAGTAAAAAAAAAAAATTGCAACCACCTGGCTGGGCGTTCATGTGATACCTTTTTATTCATATTAATTCTATCAGCAGGCTCAGTCGCAGTAAAGATTTAATCCCCCATTTAAAGGATAGAGGATTAACTGGCGTGCACCCGGCAGGTGCTGAAAATATCTATACCGTCTATTTTGGAAGTCCCTGCAGTCACTAATGTGTGTGTATTTTTGTGTGTGTGTGTGTGTGTGTGTGTGTGACTGAAGGTGTGGCAGTGTGGCGGCAGCGTGGAGGTCCTGCCCTGCTCGAGGATCGCCCACATCGAGCGTGCCCACAAGCCCTACACGGAGAACCTGACGGTGCACGTGCGTCGTAACGCTCTGAGGGTGGCTGAGGTCTGGATGGACCAGTACAAGAGTCACGTCTACATGGCCTGGAACGTCCCGCTGCAGGTGAACAGAGAGCACAAACAAACGCATGTTGAGAGTTGGATACTGTGCTTATTCTCTGTGTGGGAGAGTGTGTGTAGGCATAATTGTGTTTGTGCTTTTTTTGTGCTCAGAATCTGTGTCATAGATCTCCTAGCAACCATGACGACTGCCATCGTGGAGATCGTTGGAGATCAGTTGTGCATGAAATAAGGGTTGAATACACCTGAGGAAGATCGTTGTACTGTGGATACAAGGCAGTTATTAATGTTTCATTTATCAAAGTGAATATTGTGGGTAGTTTTGATCTTAAAATGTGTTACAGTGACACACTCGGCTGGTCTGTTGGACTCGTCAAAACCAGAATCCTTTTTGGTTTTTCATGTCATTAAAGTTCCTCTCCAGAAATGTTAAACTATGTAATAATCCGCTATGATTAATATTTAGTTTAACATGGTTTTCCCACGTAAAATCTTGCAGCTGGGAGCACATATACGCTTACTTCCTCATTGAGAAATTCTGCATCAGGCCTTGTGCCCCGCCCACCTCCGCTGCTGGTTGACAGGTGAAAGAGCAGTGCGTGTCAAGATGGTTAGCGTTAGTCAGACCCAGACGCAGGAGTTTGTTGAGGAGCGAGGAGTTTGTTGTGCACCAAAATCGGCGACTAGAAGACGTATCGGAACAGTAAGCTAGTTATTTGTTTATGTTGTTTGTTAGCTTGTAACTGGCGGTGGCTGACGCAGTGTTAGCGGTTGTGCTAATGCAAACTCTCACTCTCTGTACTGACAAGGTTTCAGGTTTATGACTGTATCGGTTCTTTAGGTTTGTGACATATGAAACCCTGGCCGTCATTGGTTCACTGCAGCTCCAAGGTGGAAATACAAAGTCATGGCATTGACTGCTTATTTCATTTGTGATATGTTTTGTATTATATAAAAAACAACCATATGGATATGATAACATTGGTAAAAACTTGATTTTGATTGCAGATGGTCTTTAAAACAATCTCCATCAAATGACAGAATCCAGTTCTTTCTCTCTGTGATTGTACTTTGTTGCTTTCTTTGCCGTCTTCCTGCTCAGTTATTATTTCTAGCTCTTGTATTGCCGTCCTAAGGATGCAGTAGTGCTGGAAGGACCCTGAGGCCCTGAACTCTGCATTTGTTATTTCTGATTCCTTGCAACATTGGAAGCTGAAAATCGTTGTATTTATTTCACTGCTCTAGGTTGTCAGTGAGATACCCGCAAAGTAAACTCGTACGTGTTTGTGTTTATTTCCTTTTCTAGAACTCAGGAATAGACATTGGGGATATTTCTGACAGAAAGGCGCTGCGATCTAGACTCCACTGCCGACCGTTCAGCTGGTTCCTCTCCAACATTTACCCCGAGCTCCGATCCTACAGCAACACAGTCGCCTATGGAGTGGTGAGTTACATTTTTACTTAAGTTCTCAGGATTCCTGTATTTTGACCCCACAGTATGATGAACACTACACCGTAGACTTTCCCACTCAGTCCCCACTGGTTGTTACACATACAGAAACTCCTCAAAGCAGAGCATAAAGTATTCAGGAGTATTTTAATTCATTATGAAATAGGAACAAGGCACTTCTTTAGCTTTATCAAAAATTAATATGCCTTTGTTGTGGCAGCTTAATAGCAAGGAGTTATGAAAATGTGTAAACATATTTTTAACATGTTTTTTCTCTTGTTACGTTTCAGCCAAAAGGCGAAAAAGCCTCCAACAATTAAGGTGTTTGTATTTAAAAAAGATAGTGTTGCACTTTACCGTCATATTTTCAATTTTATTGGCCACTTGGGGGCAGAACACGCTGTGAACACAACACACACTTGTAAAGTTATTATGGGGAATCTGTTAGCAAACTGTTGCCTGTTTAATTGTCCAGCAGACACAGAGCAGAATTTATTTATATCGTGTTTGTGGCCACCTAGTGAATGTAGCTCCAGTATTCACTCTTCTTTTCAGTCTCCTCTGAATACAAATACGCCACTATGTTACCAGCAAGTTGCTAATTTTGCTTGTCTCCTAACTGTTGGTTCATCTGTTTAGCTTTTTCCACTGAAAGCAGCTGCATGCTGCATCTGGAAATGACACAGAGGAGAGCGGGGAGAGGGAACCGAAGCAGTAACCTGCACAGTAGCAACTGAAACCTTGATTTCTTGGTCGGTAGCGTTCTTCAGCCTCTCTGGGCTGTAGGCGACAAGTGGGCTACAATTTTCATTTAGCTGTCCTCTATAATCAGCACCAACACGGCAGAGCAGTTGACGCAACTTTATTCTGCCCTCTTAGCAGTCGATGAGCATCGCAAACACTGTCACATTCACACCTGTCCCCCTGTAAACAAGGTGGGAACCAAAAGTGCTCGACACTAAAGGAGGTGGTAACTAAGCAGCTTAAATGTTACACCTACAAGATCGATATTATATATAAAGTTGTGCAACTGATAATGAAATTATATAATAGACTCAATGACGTAATATTAATTAAGGATAGAATAAACTCAAACAATATTGCGACACTTGATAAACAACACAAATTAATCAATCAATGAATTAATTAATTAAACCAACCAACAATCACTTGGCTATAGTCGTGTCATGAGCGCTGACATAGCACTAAAACAGCGTGAACTCTGTCTCATGATGACAACACGTTTCCTTTTAAACTTTTCTACCTTTTCAAGCTACAAAAGCTACATCCTCGGCTTTTCCATCAATGCTGAGACTTTTTATTATTTTTTCAGGTGCGCTCAGGATTTTTATGTCAGTTTTTAAACAATATTTTCATTCAGGCTGCACCCATATTTAATACAAGAGGGAGGTATTAGGGGTTTTTTTTCGTTTGGGTTTTATTAAAATCGTCCTCTTGTGTGGCCATGTCCACATGTTCATTGTCCGTTTTCCATTTCCCACCAATAATGGAATTATATAGAGGCCAACCAACCATAAGCACTGAAATAGCACTGAAATACCATTAACTCCTCCTCATGATGAAACTTTTCCATTAAAACTCAACTTTTCCGAGTATTTCAAGCTGTAAAATTTAAACTTTTCCATTAATGATTGCATCGCAGATCACAGCAGCGAGGGACTGAAAGGGTGAACCTTTTTATGCCACTTTAGACTTAGTTGACTTATCTTTTTATGCCATTTCTGCATGGCTATTCCCCTCTTCAGCTAACAGCTGTGGGAGGATTTTGCATAATTGAAAAATGACAGTAATCTGTTGAAAGCTGAGCAGAATTATCCAACCGCTCTGACTTGTCCTGCTGATAGAGGAAGAAAAATGAGCACTTCTCGGCTGAGTCCACTCACTAATTATTTAATCATTTCACTTTTGATTGTGATTTTTGATTGTGGTCTCATTTGAACGTTTTAGACATAACTACATGCAGATATAGTTTTCTGCATCGTCGTCTGGCTTCTGCGAAACTTGACTGCAGTCTGAGAATAATCATCGCACAGAACCTATTTCCTTCGTGTTGAAAAGGTCTTATTCTCTGCATGACTTCAAGTCTGTCACTGAAGAAAAAAAACAAACAAACAAAAAAAGTTATGAATTGATGGATGAAAAGAGACGTGGTATGGTTCTGCTCAGACATTAGCAGCAGCAAATGAGTCTGTAGCTCGGAAAACAGCCTCCGTGCCACCTCTTGTGTTTGTTGTTCGATAAACACTTCAATCACAGTACGAGCCGGATGGTTTTATTTGTTGACACTACTGAGCATGTGCGGGGGCTCGGCTTTGAGTGCGTGAGATGAAAGCATTGCCACTGTGACATCTGAGAGATGTAGATATGAAGTTTACATATTTGACAAAAACAAACTCTCACAGGAGATGGGAGTTGGGGAGAGTACAACAAGTGTTCTGGCATGATACCATCTGTGGATGCTGTTTATACACTCATCTCTTATTTAACGTAAAACAAAAGCTGGAGAAATGCACCGCTGACACAAGGTAAATATTGAACCAGAGAAACATATTTTTGATAACATTTGTCGAGCCGTTTCAAATGAAACACTGTCTCGCAGTATCGTGAACTTGAACCATTCCACCAGTTTGACGTCAGGATTGTTTGATGTTTTCAGGCCGGTAGCTAAAAGCTTACGAATACTGAGGCGTCCCCACTGTTAGCCACAACGCTGGATGCATTCACCTTGCTGTTGTGCCCATGAGCAAAACACTGAACCCCTAACAGTACCACGGCTGTTGCTTTGTTCAGAAGCTATAAGCTTGACTTCTCTATAAAATGTAGAAAGAGGAAAGAGAAATTCCCCTTGGGGGATCAATAAAGTATCATATTATTGAACCACTATAATAAGCGTGACAGCAACATGAGATATTGTGAGATAGAAAGCTCAGCTCGGCCTCTAAATCGTGGATCAAGAATTGTACAGAAAACCCCCACGGGACTGTATGTGACGTGACTGCAGAGGAGGAGAGGTGGTGGGATGCAGTGAGTGAACCGGGGTAGAGGTGGAGTCAGTGAAACAGTAAGGGGGATGACTCGGCGCTCGGGTGAGACTAACTGTTCTGTAGATTGAGGGGAAAAAAGCTATCTGTATGTAAAAGAGATTAGAAGAAAATGGAGATCTCCCCTCACATTCACTCATCATAAACTCCAAATATTGCCCCTTTGGGACTCAGATTAGTATGACTTTGCAACCAGCAAAGATGCAGCCAATTAGCATTTTCAGTCATCCTTTAAAAGGGAATGTTTGTATTTTGCTAAAGTTCGTGAGGAATGGCAGAGCGAACCGAGGCCCAGACCACAGACCTTGAATAGAGAAATAGGCATTTCTATTCAAATCACCTCTTTTTAAAGGTCACTTGAATGGCATACTTAGGATGGCAGCCACAGAATGTTTACAATGCTGTGGACGTAAAGGTGTGGAAGTCGAGACTCAGAAAGCTGAATTTAACTGAGCATAACAGATCCTGAACATTTCAAAGGCAGCTATAACATTCCTGCAGTCGGGCTGTGTCTGCTTCCAAGTTACTGTTCAAAACTAACCTCCAATTCACTACAGCCACTATTAAAGCTGCATTAATTAATGTTTTTACCTTAACATTGAGAGGAATGACTATAGCTGTGAAGTGAACTGAGTCACTCGTAGTGACGAATCCACAAAAGTAACATCCAGGTTTGAAACTCTACTGATCGTCTTTTTGTTTTTTTAACGTTAGCAATATGCAGGACAGTTTCCTTGTTTGGAGTTCCTCTGTCTAGTAGTGGTATAAAAAGATTATTGCAGCTTTAAACCACCAGACGAACTTCATTGCTTGATTTAAATAACTTTTCCAAAAAAAACACTATGATGAACTTTTACCATAGCAGGGCTCTAGACTAACTTTCTACAGTGATTGCACTGGTGCACCTAACTTTTTCACTAGCATAAATTAGGGACTCACAAAATTTTATACTGTGAACACAGTTAAAACTACTTGGTTAGATTTAGGAAAAGATCATTTCCGACTCTTCACTGCTTTGGTTTGCTGCTGCTTGGCACCGCAACGCTGCAGGGTGGAAGCCCATGCTGCCGGCCTCCCTCCCATCACGGCACAGGATGTGTTTCTAGAGACATTGTGCTTTTTTAACATTTCAATTCGGCTTGTCAACGGGAAAGCACTGTTCCCAACCTTTGGTTGCTATTTTCCTTTAAAATATGACTTCCTGACCTTTTCGTGTAAATATCTGAGGGAAGAATGGCTAATTGAAGTAGGCTATATTGATTACGCTATATTGATTTACATTTATTTGGCAATTATAATTCTCTGTGGAATACAGCCAAACTAAAGGAGTAACCTGTAGGAAAAAAATGAAAGCACAGATGCTTTTCCCTTTTTGAAATATTACTCTGCAGCTGCCAAAAAGAGGTGAAGGTTAGTCTAAATTGTTTGTATGACTTTCTCCTGGCAAGCAGTAATTAGCCTGCAGTGGTCCCATTTGTCTTCACTTTAACCACTTAACTAGAGCTGTGTAGTGGACCACTCTGTCATAATTGAGTAATTAATAATGTAAAAGCAGAGAGGAAAGATAGAGGGGAGAAACATATTCACGGCAGGAGGCAGAGACAGAAAGACTTGTCCATCCTTGTCTATATTTGAAGCGTAGCTAAACCAGTTTCAGAATATTGTGGAATAATTAGTGAGACTTCAACAACTCAAAAGTTTGTGCAGGGGTGTGGTAGCTTTTTACTATAAAGTTGTTTTTATAAATAGCTGCACGGAAGCATCCATCCATATACACTTCAGGAAATCACCAGTTCACTTACAGGAGTCCTCACTTCTAGAACCAAAACGGTCAATCCAAGAGAAATAAGTGTCTCTTTAGTAAAAATCCAAAGGGGTCCAATAATCGTCTTTACTTGATAAATTCAATTCTGGCTCCCAAAACAATTGAGAAAACGTGTACATAGAGCAAATATGTGAATGTGGATATTTTTGCAATAGGCTACTCAAGATGACAGCAGCAGCTGTCAGGTCCTCTCCAGTGGCCCCGGGGCAAAAGCAGCTCTTTCTCAGAAGTCAACCTCAAAGCTAGCAGGAGATTATCACACTTAAGCAGGTGATTTGAGGCTAGTGAGCATAGAGAGTGGGCAACTTGCCCTCACAGGCTTATTCTGCCCCAGCTAAATCCATCTGAACACCTTTTTCTTTTTTTTTTTTTAGTTCAATAATTAACTCTGATCTGTGAATGTGAGTGAAACTTTGCCATTTAAAACAAAATACTTACAAAATATATACAAATATATTTTATTTTTACATACAAAAATACAAAGTACCTTTGGTACTTAGATTAAAGCTGCATTAACCATTTGCGTTTTCATTCTGAGAGGTAACTTGCACAAACCTCTCAACAAAAGTCATTTTAGCACTGTGGCTAATTAGCAATTATCTTAACTCACGATTAGCAATTAGGCATAGCACTAGCTAAACTGGCTAAACAGTGGAAAACAGCTAGCTTGACTCTGTCCGAAGTAACCAACACCTCTAAAGCTTACTTATTTACTCTAACTCTCCTTAAACTACTAAATTTCTGTTTATTTATGAGTTAAACTAAAGAGATTAGCCAATTAGCTTTAGCACTTTAGTGTTGGTAGGCCTGTTTTTAGCAACTAGCATAGCTGTTTCCTCCTGCCTCCAGTCTTTAGCATAAGCTTAACACTTCCTAACTCCAGCTCCCTACCTGAATACACTGATGTTGATATTTTCATCTCACTCTCAGAAAGAAAGTAAATCAGAGTATTTTAAAAAATGTTGAACTATTCCTTCAAAGATCTAAATAAAACATAGATGTAGTTGCTGCTCGTCTGTAAAACTAAACAAAAAAAGGAAAACAGCAGTCGACAACATTAAAGTAAGGATGAGCTGCTTTTTCTCTCCCATGTTTTTGTGATGAAATTATAAAAGGCTCAGCAGCTCTGACAGCCTGAAATTGCTTTAAATGAGGAGAGCAGTTTGTTTAATAATGCCACAAATTTGAAAAATCTGATGACCAAAGCTGAAGTTACATGCATACGTTTTTCACTCTGATTGAAATCATTCCAGTCGATGATCTCGGGTCAGCTGTTTACATTTGAAGTGATTTAATACGATCTGGTGTTTACATGCACCAACGCATTTAATCGAAAACAGCTGTATGACATGAAAAAGTGGAGAAACGCTCATCCTGACGCATTTGAGTCAAGACAGAAGGCGTATGCAGAAAGAAGGCATCCAGAAACTAAGCAGGGTTAAATCGTTTACATGTAAAATGTTTTATTTTGATCGGTTTATGAAAAGTGTATGTTTGCTTGTTAAAATCTACATAGAGTTTATGTAGATTGCCTTTTCTCTCTCTCATTTCTTTAGTTGAAGAACAGTCTAAGAGACGACCTGTGTTTGGACCAGGGACCTGACACTGACAACATTCCCATCATGTATCTCTGCCATGGTTTGACACCGCAGGTCAGTGAACTCTCACTCATTTTATTCTGTTCTGTCTCTTCAAAGACATGAAAAACCGAAACATACGCAGAAAGATCTTAGGAGATCATTGCAGAGATGGTTGAGTGGTTTCTCTTTATTCTATGAATAACAAAAAGGCTTTGTAAGACTCAAATACATAAAGTATATACAGTTTATTGTCACAGTTTTGAATATCTATCCACAAAAATTAAGCTTGGATTTCTGACAAGCGAGAATCCATCTTGCCAGGCTCCAAGCTGCCCACTTGTGGTCGAAACCACAGTGATTCAGACCAATCAAGGTCCTGTGTATTATTGGCAGGTACGGGCATGTCTTAAGTGTGACTGCAGCGGCTCTTAAAAAGGTTAGCATAGATGCTGCTATAACTTCAGATGTATCAGAACTGGAGAGTATTCCTTCATCGAAAGAAGAGCAGAGAACAGCACCGAAGTTTTCGCTCCTCTCCCGACTGGCTTCGGCAAGAGTTTAATTTACCAACTGGCTCAGCGGGGAAGGATGCAGAATCTGATTGGTTGAAGCTGGCATGTGATAGATGGTGATAGACAGATGGTACATCAAATCACCTGGCAAGTGTTTTTTGAAAGCACCTGCCACTTTCCAACAGGTTTCCAACAAAGCCTTCCCTGCGGGTTCTCTGTAACAAACCACATGGTGCATCAGGTTAAATATGAGGACATTATGAGCACCATTATTAAAGCTGCTTGAATAGATTTTTTGCTGTTGTTTATTTATTCGTGGGCTTGCTTTTTTGCCCGCTTGGTAGCAGCAAAACAAGCTGGAAACACCACATTGACGTATTACTACCATGTTCATTTCTTTATGCATCCAGCAGACACAGAGCAACATTAGCTTTGTCTAGAGCTGATGAGTGAAAGTCCAATATTCCCTCTGCCTTCAGCTCTGTTTTGGCCTCTATAAACTCCTGAGCGGAATATCTGGTTCTTTAGCTGCTAAATGCTTCACTATGTTCACCAGCTAGCTGCTAATTTACTCTTTCTGTTGGTTTATCAGAGCCTTTTGCCTGCTGATGGAATCAGTATTGATAAACACAGAGTCCGACTTCATAGTTGGAGATAGTTATCTGTGGGTTCTACTGCAAGTGACTACTTCCCCATTACACATTGTTATTTGATCCATTGTTTATGTAAAATGTAGGTTAGTGCAACTTTAAACATTCACTGTAAAATAGGACAAGTTAAAAAAAATTTTTTAGGAAACCTTATAGTGTAAGTATAAAAGTATAACTATTAGTTTTAGGTTATGTTGACTTTATATCCACTTGTTGAGTTTACTTAAAATTTTGTTGGGTTTACTTAATGTTATCTAGTTGTTCCAACTTAAAAATGAGAACTAAAGTTACCTTGCCCTTTTTTCATTAAACAGAGTATTTTAGCAAATGTGATGAGTTACTGTATAAAGGGGCATCACTCATGTTGAGCTACTGTAATTAACATAAAGAAGTCACACATTTGCTAATTAAAGCAGAGATCTAGAGGAAAATGTTAGCATAAGAACTATCACCATGCTATGATAATGCTGCTTTGTCATGTGGTAGTAAGAGTGAAACTTTTCAGCTCTGCAGCTGAACTATGTAAAAGTAGTTGCTGAGGCCAATCATCAACTCCATCAGCCCACTCCAGATTTAAGGTCTTTGAATTTAAGAGGCAGTAAAGGCTGCACTTACTTTCCCCCTGTAATGGAAGCACTGAAAAACACTTAAAACAGCATGGAAGCGTGACTGCGTATTTCCACTTCTCACCGCTGTGAAATGCTCTGTGGCTTGACAAAATTAAAAATTCAAATTATTTAACCGTGTGCATTATATCCCGGCTGCCATAAAGAGGTTTGCATAATCAGAACTGGACTCCACTACGCACTGAGTCTGGCATTTAGAAGAGCTTTGTGAGGACACTCCAAGCTTCGCCTCCATTGTCGGTAAAGTTAATAGCTTTGACCGGAGCCTTGATGTCAGAAATATTCAACTTTCTATCTGGGTCAAACTCAGCAATATACAGCATCAGCTGCTGAAACAGCTGTGTTGGCATTTCTATGTCTCTCTTGTCTTTTTGCCTTTCACGTATTCTCTCTCCTGGAGACAGCACCATCAGCAAGTGCTGATAAAGAAATGGATTCGTATTGGTAATTTTTTTTTTTTTTTATCTCCCTCACTGTCTTCACACCGTCTGTCAACACAAGCAATGGAGATGGGCAAAGCCACTGTTAAGGGTCTTGAGCTTATTCCCTTCACAATAAAAAGCTTAATTCTGAATGTGCTAGTTTTGCTTAAATTGAAAAGTTTTCACACCCACAACATGAGTTTGGCCACAGTCAAACAGGAAGATAGCAGGTTTGCAGAAGACCGCCCTCAGTCCCAGCCAACACTGCCAAAAGTGAGGCCTCAGGGTCAGTTTTATTCCGCTCCTCTGGGACTCTGAATAATGCAGCATTATTCATTTGGCCTGTGTGAATCTGAGAGGTTGTCTCTTTAAAAAAGAAAAAAAAATCATATTTTAAGACACAAGCAAGTTCAAAGCTGAGCGTGTGCTTCTCCACTTAGTGTTAGTGAGCAAACATTTAGCTGCAACAGAGATATTTTGAGGCATTAAAGGCAGAGAAAATGAAGAGATAATTTGTTCGCTCATATTTATGGAGGAAATTCGGCTTAGCAAAAATAAAAATGACTTCTAGCAAGCCATAATTTACCCACTGCACTGAAACATGTCTCTATAACCGGGGTGTTTTGGGGGCTTTACTGGGATAAGTCAAGATAGTAGTAGAATATCATTACACAGCACAGAATCAGCAAGAGGGACTAATCACTTTATAGACTCCAGATATTTGGGCTTTTAGACTCAGAGGTGCATCTACATACATTGCACTGCGCATAAAATGAAACTGAAGTTATTATCTGTCCTGTACTTGCTGCAGTAATCAACGAGGGATTAGCGAATCTTAATGGATAAATCCATAATCTTTGCTGTTAATGGACATTTACTCACATATTCACACATAAACGGTCACTCCTTGCATTAGCCTGATGAATTTTGAGGCCTCAGTGACACTGGAAAATAATAACGAACCTATTTCCAGCCATCGAGACTCGTCAGACTCATTTCAGACTTACTGGTGAATGCCAGAAAGATTCCATGTTTAGAGACATCAGTCTTAGGATGCAGAGCGAAAAGCAGTAGGAGCCATTTCATAGCCAACATCAAAGACTCAAGTATTCCTCTGGTCTTCTATCATTGCTTTATCGCTTCTCATTCTTTATTCTTTATTCATGTGGAGTATCTTTTGTAATGTAATTCCCCCAAGTCCTTCTTATTCCCCTTTCAGATCCTTTTATTCTGATTCATCCGATCCTTTAGATTACCTCTGAGTCCTCTTCCTTCTGAGCAGAATCACTTCATTCCAGTGTGTGTCCAACAGAATGAATGGATGTGGTTCTGAATACCTGATGAACTGCTGAACCTCAACGATGCATAGCGTTCCTCAATTTCCTTTAGAGCCACTTGACACAGATGTAGGGATGCTGTGGAGGATGAGAGAAGGGAGAGCAAGACGGACGGATAGAGAGTCTTAACAAACAGAGGAAGAGAGAGAGAGAGAGAGAGATCACTGTAGGTACTCGTTCAGTTAAGCATTTCTTTACGTATGCCAGTAAATGACGCTGGTTATCAACCTCGTATCATCTTCACATCACATCAGCTTTACTGTAAAGAAAAGCTAAAGGACCTGGTGGTGAGATAGACGGGAGTCTGCGCCGGCGACAGCCAGAGGCGTATTGGTTTCAGGTTGTCCGTCCGTCCGTACGTACGTACGTCCGTACGTCTGTCCCAGTCTCGTGGATCTCAGTAACGCCCTGACAGAACTTCTTCAAATTTGGCACAAACATTCATTTGGGCTCTAGGATGAACTGATCACATTTTGGCAGTCAAAGGTCAAAGGACACAGAAGACTGAGACCCAGGAGAACACAATAAACTAAGGCTGGAGGTAAAACAACCATAGACAGATGAGCCAAGTCATTACAAAATAAAACAGGGAATAACTAAAAAGAGTCCGGGTGGGACGTCACAGTGGATGTTGATTCAGGTGCCAATTTCAAGCCAAAACAAGAGGTGTGGAAAACAATATCCATTCAACAGGATGATGAGTAATTCAAGTGGAAATTAAGCAGGTAATAGAAATCTGATCTCTGCCTCAATATTGGTGTAGCCTTGCTAAGAAGATTGGTTTTTGGCTGGATCAATAAAGTTTGAAAATTAGCCCTTGGAGGCTATTTACCGGGGCAGAATTCATGGCTGTGTGTGAAGGTCTCTAATTTCTATCTTTGTGAGGACACTCTTACTTCTTCATGAGGCTATTTTAGGACTTACAGCTCAGGCATGTCATGCTAATATGCTGTTAAATATTAGTCATGGATTAAATGTAGTGATGGAGAGTTCTCGCAAACTGAGTGAAATAAATGTGCAAGTGGGTGCATTGGCGTGCCTGTGTATGTGTGTGGGTGGGTGCGTGGGTGTCTACAGAGCAAAATTACCAGGATATTGAACTTGTAAGTTCAGGCAGGAATGAACAAGCTGTAGGAAATCTTGTAGCAGAATCTGATGTTTGTAAGAGGCTCGGAAATAAAATAAAAAAAACACAGCCAGGCCTTGATAAAGAGAAACCAAGTAGCAGAACAAGTCAAATCAAAGATTAAACTTTGAAACACAGCCTTGCCACTTGGGAAAAGAGAAAAAGCTTTCCTCCAACTGCGGCTTTTCTTACTAAAGAGACTTTAGAAGACATTGATTTATCATTTTCGGGGAAGTTGGTGGTGTATTAATGATTAAAAATAGAGTAATTTCACCGGGGAGTCAGTTTGATACAAAGAAAACTCAAACCAATTACCAGACTTAAAGAACTTTTGACAAAGAGTGTGTGTGTTTGTGTGTGTGTGTGTGTGTGTGTGTGTGTGTGTGTGTGTGTGAGAGA